ATTTAAAATCAAAAACAAAGAGTTTCATAACTATTCTCTGCAGTCGAGGCGATATATCAGTTAACGGTTTTTGGATAAGTGGCAATAAAGGCTGATGATCCGTCTGGATTATGAACGTGTGTCCTAATAATAAATATTCGAACTTTTTGCATCCATAATAGAGTCTGGAAGTGTCTTCTCACCAGGGCCTGATTCAATTTGCGTGGATCCAAACATATTCTAATTTGGCCCGATTTTTTCTTCACTACGACCATAGGGTGAGACCACTCTGTTTCATGATAAATCTTCGTAATTATTCCTTGTTTTACCATCTTTTCCAATTCAGACTGAACTTCATTTCCTAGGCTTGCCGGGATGCGTCTTGGAAGGGCACGTACAGGCGGATACTCAGGTTTTGTATACATTTTACATTCAGAGTTTATCACTCCAACTCCCTGAAACACCTCATGAAATTGTTCGAGTATTTTTTTCGTTTGATCATGTAAAATCATTTCATGCGAGTTTATTTGATTGATTCGTTTCAAAATCTCAAGCTTCTCGCAAGTGTCGCCTGTGATGAGTGTCTGCGCATCGACATCAGCAATAATAAATTCACACAAGCTTTTCTTTTCACCATATTGGCATAACACTTCACATTTCCCCACGATAGGTAATTCCGAATGTCCATATGCATATGCCTTTAACGACGTGGGCTTGATTATTGGCTTTGCTGGCCACAAGCTTATCACTTTCTGAGGAAGCACATTAATCTGCGCACCAGTATCCAAATGTACAGACGTCTTGTTTCCATTTATACTTATCACAGCGGACCATTTGTCCGACCGAACGGTCTTAACAAGAACCTTATTTACATTGATACCTCCTTCGAAGGATTCGTCGCCTTCATTTTCCGCTATAAGGTTTCTTATGCGTCTGGTCCTACAAACTGCTGCGAAATGGTTTAATTTCCCGCATGCGTTACATGTCTTTCTGTATGCTGGGCAATTACCATATGTGTGTTGCTGTCCACACCACTTGCATTCATTTTTAGTGTTTGCAATACTGGGTCCTGCTTTAGCTTTTTCTACTCGACTTCTATTTTTCTCCCAGGTATTTTTGTTAATCTTCTCAATCATGGCCTGTTTTTCTTCCCATGACGCTATTTGTACGCAGACAGACTCGGCAATCGTAGCTACAGAAATTGCTTTTGGTAGGGTCAACTGGGGATCTTCCAACAACTTCTTTTTTACTTCCTGATCTATCATTCCAATTATGAAACGATCCCTGATGAGAGATTCAGCCAATTCCTCGAATTCACATTCCTGGGCGAGTTGTTTTAATTCCGTAACGAATTCAGTTATACCTTGACCTTCCTTTTGTACGCTTGTGAAAAATTTGTTTCTAATTTGTATTATATTTTTAAAGGTTTGAAATGTTTTGAGAACATGTCGAGCATCTCTTTAATACTTGGGTAAGCTTCATTCTCTGTTACTCTGAATGTTTTATATATCGACACCGTTTTTTCACCAAGAATATGTTTCAAAATGGCTCGTTGACGTACCAATGGCATGCTCTCCAAGTCTGCAGCTATAGAAAAAATTTCAAATGCTTCACGCCAAGTTTCCCATTTCTTCTCACCATTATATGGCACAAATTCGGCAGGTGGCTTTATATTTTCCATGTTTTGTAATTCTGCTCTTTTCTTTTAGAGACCTAGACAAAGCTTAAAAACAACATATATCCTGTCGGCTGCGCCATGTTAAGAATTATGCTAAAAAGACTAGAGGCGACAACCACTCATTGTCCGGTTGAAAGAATTTATTTCACCATCAAAATAGTTCTCTTTTATACAGCGAGGAGTTTTACATATTGAAAGATCGCCATGGATTTGCATAGCGTTGAAAGATAAAATGATATTTACATGAAAATAGTTACAACATATCAAATAGACAAAATTCATAGTATATGATAATACATCACATATCACAACAATCTTGTGATTAATATTTAACATACAGAACACCTAGTAGTCTGAAATTTGGTACACTTGTTCAAACCGGATGAAAATTGAAGTTGGAAAATTTTTAGACTTCTGTGTGGTCAGGAATTAACCAATTTCCTTATTTGCTATAATATTCTTTAAAACTTATGTCCATAGTTATCTTAAATACCATTTCTAAGATTCCACCCTTTCTTCATTGCAACATATATAAGCAGAATCATCCAATACAGGATTAGAGCTCTAAGAAGCGGTCTCTGGTAGATTAAATTCGCGAAAATATTTGATATTGCCAGTTATCTGTTTTTTTTTTAAGGGAAAGAGGCGCACAATTTTGTTCACACTTTGTTATCTCGTGTGTCTTCAATAAAGGTCACTGCGTATCAAATATCTTTCAGAGTTATTGTTTCGATATACATGCTAAAATGTACACATTTCTTAAGTTTTGTTCCCATGAGTTGTTGTCATGTCCAATGAAGAGCCTTAGATGTCCCCATACATCTCTATCATAGCAATCGCAATGTTCTCTATCTTGGGTGTGTTTACTGTATTGTTGTTGTTGTCGTGTCCAATGAAGAGCCTCAGATGTCTCTGTATATCTCTATCACAGCAGGCACAATGTTCTCTATCTTGGGTGTGTTTACTGTATTGTTTTCGTGTCCAATGAAGAGCCTCAGATGTCTCCATACTTCTCTAACATAGCAGTCGCAATGTCCTCTATCTTGGGTGTGTTTACTGTATTGTTGTTGGCATGTCCAATGAAGAGCCTCAGATGTCTCTGTACATCTCTATCACAGCAGTCGCAATGTCCTCTATCGTGGGTGTGTTTACTGTATTGCTGTTGTCGTGTCCAATGAAGAGCCTCAGATGTCCCCATACATCTCTATCATAACAGTCGCAATGTCCTCTATCTTAGGTGTGTTTACTGTATTGTTGTTGTCGTGTCCAATGAAGAGCCTCAGATGTCTCTGTACATCTCTATCACAGCAGTCGCAATGTCCTCTATCTTGGGTGTGTTTACTGTATTGTTGTCATGTCCAATGAAGAGCCTCAGATGTCCCCATACATCTCTATCACAGCAGTCGCAATGTCCTCTATCTTGGGTGTGTTTACTGTATTGTTGTTGTCGTGTCCAATGAAGAACCTCAGATATCTCCATATATCTCTATCACAGCAGTCGCAATGTCCTCTATCTTGGGTGTGTTTACTGTATTGTTGTTGTCGTGTCCAATGAAGAACCTCAGATATCTCCATATATCTCTATCACAGCAGTCGCAATGTCCTCTATCTTGGGTGTGTTTACTGTATTGTTGTTGTGCCCAAATGAAGAGCCTCAGATGTCTCCGTGCATCTCTATCACAGCAGTTGCAATGTCCTCTATCTTGGGTGTTTGCTCTACATTGGAAAATGGATGCCGTTGCCATGTTAGTCACCTTGGACCAGAATTTGGTCAAATATTCCAAGGGTCCAGGGAGGACTAGTGTGGTGGTCGGACTTCTCCCCACACCAAGTTCCCATGAGTGTATGTTATAAATAGAAATATAGAGAGACAGGAATCATAGAAAGAACTTTATTCCTCACACACTGCTGTCTGTATATAGAAGTAGATCACTTGGTAGCTCTGCCCAAGACATGAGGCCGCAGCCAATACATACCATGCTCCAAGTTTACCAGAGACTCCGAGATATCTTTGAAGGGAGCGGTGCTTATTACTTCAGACACAGGTGCTCGTAGTTTGCAGCCGTCGCTCACAGCGCTCCATGCTGGCTCTAGGATGGTCTGAAGAGTTCTGCCCCATGTTCCTTTGGGATAGCCAACATGTTCCAGGTAGTAGAAACATCCTCCCTACAACACCAACATGCTGAACTGAATATTATCAAATTTATAATACAATATAATGCGGATTGTGGAACGACCTTCGACAATTGTACCGCAATTTTTTTTTTAACGAAAAATCGTAATTTATTTTAAGGAGAAATAACGACTATTTCTATCCTTAGGGATGAAGTATGAAAGAATGAATTCTGAATAGTAATTATAAACGGGAAAATAAAGTGTCCAGGGATTTATTTTTCCGTTTATCATTACTCTTCACAATTCATTCTCCATCCCTAAGGATAGAAATAGTCCTTTAAAAAAATTACGATTTTTCGTTCAAAAGAAACATTTGCGGTAAAATTGTCAAACGCCGTTCTATTATCATATCTATCATGATTAACTTTACAACAGAATCTCCATTAGAAGACACACTCGCCAGAACACACCTCTCTACAAAGGAAAACAGTTTTCTTAGATTTCTAAGGAAGGCAGCTTAGGGGTATTTAGAGAACCTATGGACATAATATGGGTCTGTGCACAGGGGTATATACAAATATTTTTTTTTGCGGAAAAGCTATGCTCGATGCTATTCCTTGTAATTATATGTATGTACAGTCCTTGTCCACAGGTTCACTAAACACCCCTAAGCTGCCTTCCATAGAAAATATATGCACAGGATATATAACAAAACCAATCTAATGTTGTTATTGTTGTCGTGTCCAAAGAAGAGTCTCAGATGTCTCCATGCATCTCCAACACAGCAGCAGCAATATCCACTATATTGGGTGTGTAAAGCTGCTGCTCTGGGTCTAAGTCAATTTTCTGCAAGGCTGCGGCCATTGCTGGGCATGAGAATATGTGGGTAGGTGTTAGTTCCACACCAGGACAGTTGTTGCATGCTCTTTAGGTTCTTGTGCCATCTGGATGTATTGCCATTCCTTTATAGTATTTTGTTCTAAGTCTTGTTATAGTTTTTGTCAGTTTTCTCTCAGAGTTTATTTCACATATTTGATCTTTTCTTATTTTTTATTTGATTATAACCAATCCAATAGTAGAGTAGTTTGGAGATTTTTTTTCATCGCAGTAAGGACAATAGAAGTTTGTTTTATGTTTAATAGAAACATTCATTCTTTAATGATTCCATTTCTTAAGTATTCCTCAAATCATTTATTATTCATTTTGTACGTAACTTCTGAAGCGTATGAAAGTCGCCGAATGTCACCCTCCCAAATACTGACCAGGCCCAACGTTGCTTAACTTCGGTGATCGGACGAGAAACGGTGTTTACAATGTGGCTGTAGGTTGTCTGGAATCCCCTCTGTATAACAACAATATAATTCTACCGCCTGTACCATTCACTTTTTGTGAGATCATCTATTTTAAAATTTATTTCGTGTGTCAGTTTACAGTTGTCGAGTCACCATGTCCTGGATATTTATATATGGCGAGTTGGTGGAGTAGAGGTCTTCTTCTTTCTTATCTCCACTCAATCATATTAGGGTATCAAGTTGTGACCCTTGATGGTGTCTGTTTGACAACCATCATGACTGGGTGAAGTAGAATGGGTCTGCCTTTGTCATTAAGATTGGAAGCACTACTCAGTGGCAGGCTGACTTAGATCCAAAAGAAATGGCCGCCTCTGACATGAGGAACAGACGCCATGTGCAGCTGCTCCTAACATGGAGTACAAACGCTGCTCATCCTGTATTCCTAGATTAGGAGCCCTTACAGGGTACTATCAGCCGGGCCAGCTGAGTCCAGGTTTTTTAGTGAGCTTGTTACTGCTCCCCCTCCTCCTTTTTCATCCAAAATAATTAATAAAAGTATTAATGATGGTAATTTTGTATATAAATAATAAAATAGCCAAGTTACATATACTTCATTTAATTAAAAAGGCAAATATTAGATCAAAATTTCATTTATTTTACCAAAATTTCAGTTGGCTGAACGCCAACCTTTATCAAGGTATAATAACATTTCAAAACATTTTCATAACATTTTTCAAAACGATATTTTGATGTTACGCAAAAAAAAAAATTGTTTTACATAAGTAGTTTGAAATTTGGTTAAAATTGATGCATTCTAACAAGTTTTTAGTGAAGCCCACTTATGAAATATTTAGCATATATATATTTATATATACAGTAGAATCTCTAAGAGAGGACACGTATCTACAAAGGACAGTTTTCATCACCAAAATTAACCTTTTTTTACTATCACCAACTCTCCGGTAAGAAAGGCATCTCTCTCCAAATGAGATTTTGGCTCTACTGCTAGGTGTCTATTACAGGGAAGTTCTACTGTATATATATCTTTCCCAATATTTTACATAAATATATACAGATGGAAAATTTGCCGGGAGAAAATTAATCCATAGAAGCATAGGGCGCCTCTCCCGTCAAAATAAACGTCATAACCTGACGCCATCTATTGATCGTCGCAGCAACTAGCGGCCTCGGGTAGGTGACAAAGCCACAACACCAGGACGGGAGAGATGCCCTATGCTTCTATAAATATATATATATCCCCCTAGGGACACTTGCGCTGTCATACATGTATGCCTATAGGCAGTTTATCTTTTCAAATTTTCTATCTATTGTTTTATCAATAATTTCAGTCAAATTTTCAATTGTATTTTGTTTACTTAAATCTTCTAAAGATTCAATTCCACTTTTTATCTGATCTATCATAGATGACAAAAAAATATTTTTGCGAAATTCTTTGGTTTAACACTTATCGAAATATATTTTTTATTTCTTCAATTTTAGCGTTTATTGACTTTAAAATATATATTAACCCAGTATTTAACATAAATAAAAGTACTCGCTAATGTAAGAAAATAATTCTGTGTAAGGTTAAACGTTTAAATTACACCTATACCTCGCTTTGCGTCGGGGTTACGTTCCAAAAAAACACGACGCAAATTGAAACGACACAATGTGAAAATATGTGAAAGCGCAATCAAAAACAAAGGTGTTGCCATATTTTAGGGAAAAAAATTCAAAAAAATTAAAGACTCGAATCCAAAACAACGCAACTTCGAAAATCTAACGACGCACAGTGAAAATCAGTAAAAATTAAGCAGCGACGCAACTTCGAAAAAAAACGCAAAGCGAAGTATTGGTGTAAATCACAAAGAACATTTTGTATCAAACGTGTAAAATTCTAAAACAAAAGAAAATATACTTATCAAAGAAACATTTTATTGAAACATTTTAGAAATTTAAACATAATTTCTTCAAATCCTCATTTGTCAAATACATGAAAATTTTCTCTGAACATCCAGTTTCTCCTATTTTACTAAATTCAGCGATGGTCTTTTCAACTTGCCATCTCTTCTCTACCATTTTCAATTTTCTCTTGACCCTATCCAAGTAATATTTTAACATATACATGTATTCATCTATATTATATTTAATGATTGAATCACCAATAGAAAAAGCTAATTTTGAAATATTAGGCTCTTTCAAAACATCGAACCAAGTTATTTCAGTCCTAAAAATATTAAATTTTGAAATCATCTTTAGTTCATATGCACAACTTTCCCAAAAAATCGATAGATTTTCATGTTCTTTTATATATTTAGGTATTGGTTGTTCAAATTCTTTTTCTAATAAGTATTTAATTAAAGTTTGACTTACATTTATACACTTAGAACTAACTGATCTTTCAATTATCAATTCATTAAACAGAGTTTTGATATTTGTATATGACATTTTTTCTAGAAGAATCTCAGCAAGTTCTTGATTATCAACATTAAGTGCAAGTTCAAATGGAGTATTTCCTCGTTCATTTACTTCATTTAATTTTACACCATTTTCTATTAAATAACATACGATTTTTTTATATCCATTCTCAACTGCAATATGTAAAGGTGTATCTAAAAAATCATCTTTTGTTTCAAGATCAGCGCCTTTCTTATGTAAGAGCTTAACAACTTTAAAACGGCCGAATTTCGCAGCTAGATATAAAGGCGTACAATTCTTTTGATTTTTCTCATCATAGTTTCTTTCATCCACTAGAATATCAACTATCTTTAAATGGCCTTTTCTTGCTGCTAAATGGAGCGCTAGATCATTATTAATTGTTTTAATATCTTTATCAATTCCTTTTTCTAATAACATTGCAACTAATTCGACATTGCCATGCATAGCGGCTTTATGTAAAATAGTTTCGTTTTTTTTATTAGTAGCATTGATATCCTCGTTTAGCAGAATTTCAACAATTTCTTTATGTCCATTAGAAGCAGCGTAATGAATTGGCATATCTAAAAAACAATTTCTTTCATTAGTTAAAGCTTCTTTTTCTAAAAGAATCTTCACAATGTTCAAATAACCATTCATAGATGCCAGATGCAGAGGAGTATCTCTTTTTCCATTTTTAATATTCATCTTTGCGCCATTTTCTAATAATAAATTGACAATATCTTCATGTCCATTTTCTACGGCAAAATGTAATGCAGTACCGCGTCCATTGTAATTAACATCTATATCTTCTTGTATTAATAATTTAACTATTTCTAGATAGCCATAACTAGCAGAAATATGCAAAGGGGTTTTTAAATTTGCATCTTGAGCGTTAGGATTAGCACCATTTTCTAATAAGATAGATACAGCAGATTCATGGCCGTTTTCACAAGCATAGTGTATAGGAGCTTTTAATTTCATATCTTCATTGACATCTGCACCATTATCAATCAGTAAACGTAATAATGAATAATGTTTTGCAGCTACCATCAATGGAGTAATCTTGGATCCGGTTAGATTACAATTAGCTCTATTTTTTAAAAGAATTTTAACAATTTTCAAATTATTCATTAAACATGCAATTAACAATGGTGTTTCACCAATATAATTTACTGCGTTGATATTTGCATTAGCTAGCAACAAAATCTCAACGTTATCGGGATTTCTAGCTATTACAGCTAAATGTAAAGCAGTATTCCCATTTTTATCACATAATGAAACATCAGCATTTGCTTTTAACAACTTTATAGTCGAATCTGTATTTTTGGTTTGAACTGCCAAATGTAAAGGAGTTTGTTTATTAATATCAAGTGAATTTACATTCAATTCATCAAGGAAAATTTGTAAAATAAAACTATCATTTTTAGCAGCAATATGCAAAGCATTTTCTTCATTATTATTCCTTGCTTTTATATTAGCTCCAGCACCAATAAGCATTTGAACAATTGTAAAAGTACCAAGAGATACGGCCAAAAGTACGGGAGTATACTCAGATTTAAATGTGAATTCCAAATCAGCATTCATATCAATAAGAGCTTTAACAACTTTAGGAAATTTCTTGAGAATAGCAATATGCAAAGCGGTTTGTTTATCATTATTTAGTGTATTTACATCAGTTCCAGCTTGAACAAGTACTTTTATGATCGAAGTTCGTCCTTTTGAAGCAGCTATATGAAGAGGTATATTGCCATATATGTTAGTTGCGTTCATATTTGCCTTCTTTTTTATAAGCCATCTGACAACGTCGTTTGCACCTGATTGACAAGCTTTATGTAAAGGTGTTTCATTTATATTATTATTTGCATTTACATAAGCTCTTTTAGAAATAAGCTTTTTACATAGCAAGATATAACCTTTACTTGCAGCCATATGCAATGCTGTGTTGTCTTCATTATCACGAGCGTTGACATCTACTCTGTAATGAATTAAGTGTAAGGCTGCGCTTGTGAAACTGTTCTCTATTGCTACCATTAAAGGAGTCTTTTCATCATCGTCTCTTGTATTTGCATCCACTTTTAACTCGAGTAATTTCTTTACAGCTTCAAAATCACGACTTAGAATGCTTTCAAATAGCTTTTTAGGATTGGGAGTTCCCATGTAAATTAAATTAAGGATATCCAAAAATATTTAACAAGATAGATAAACAGAATAATTTAAAATGAACGTTAAACTTAATAGTATTATATATATAGTATTATGGCTTAATCGTATGATGATATTTTATAGAGAAAAAAATCACAGATAAAATATTTATATAAATTAAAAATTTTAAGGATAAATTTAGATTTTTTTAAAATGTATCTATTGGACTTAAAAAAAGATTTATTTGCTAATATATATTTTTTAAATCCAATATATGCCTTTTTATTATCTGAAGATATTTAATTATATGGATTGGTTCATTTTTCAAGAGAAAAAAAAAACTATATATATATTATATAATCTAAAATACAAATATTTTATTTTTTTTTTAAAACATATATTTTATTTTTTCATTCATTGACTGTTCTGCATTTTTGACCATATATTCAAAAAAATATCACTTTTAATTAT